AATGCACTTGCCGGGGTAGACAGGTAGTATCTGAACATTACAGAGAGGAGGAACCGAGGTTGAGTCAAAGGGAACGTGGGCCTCAGGAAAGGCGAATGGGCCATTAATTCATACTTGCTTTGTGCTTTACAATTTACAAAATCCACAAATCATTTCGTGTCACTGATTCTTTATTCTGTGGCTTTCAAACCTTTCTAACCTTTATACATCATGACCCAGTGTGTCAGGAACACACACACACACACACACTCATGCGCATGCTCACACGTTACCCTGTGTCTTTTATCCACTTGAAATCGCGAGCTTTCACTGGGGCCAGAGGACGCCGAGGGGCCTGGCCGGGCAGCTCTAGCCGGTTCCCTGGCCTCCAAATGGAAACAACAGCCCCCTGACTCGGCTGGAAGCTGGTGGCCGTCTCCCAGCTTCCATTCTCCCAATCTGGCCTATGGTACTGAAGCCCCTGACTCCCCGTTTAAATGCCCTTTGGCTTTAAATGCCGCTCACTGTTTCCTAGCTGAGGCTCAGTGGGTTCCATAGGTACTAGAAATCCCCATTTTTATTTCTGCAGAAATGAAGACTTAAAGAGGTCAAAGGACAGAAGATCACACAGTGCGAAGTGGCAAATCTGTCCCTCGGCCCGAGTTTTCCAAGGACAAACTCAGCAACATTTTCTACCACCCCACAGCCGTCCATGGGTCCAATGAAGTCGTTGGGTGTTTTGTTTATTCGAAGTTGCACTAACTTCTATATCTAAAACTCTTGAAAATGGTCTCAGTTTTTCCCCCGGTTATCTTTCTCTCTTTGATTTTGTCAAATTAAATTTCATTCTTTCGCACCCGCATCCGCCTACCCTGAGCTTTCCTTTCTGTGAATGGCTACCTTTAGAATTGTTGACCTCTGTTAAAGGACACAGTTCTTCTCTTGCTGTTTAGATGTACATCTTTTTCTCCAAGCTAGGTTGTTAAGTTCCTTGAAGATAGGAATCCTCTTTCAGCTTTCTTGCAGGTCTCCCTATTATATTTCTTAGCTTTCCTTTCTGCGGAAAGTAAGTCATAGATACCCAAAAAAATACAGTTGCTCAACTAATCCATACTGCACAGTTGCCATTTTGCCAAGTATCAGGTCACACATACACACAAAAAAAAACATTGATCAGTTCGTAACTTCTAAACTGTATGAGTGAGAAGATGACCCTCTCCACAAGGCAGTTTGGGAAAAGGAGAATTTTACTCAAAGGGTAAAATTCAGGTGTGTCTCCTTCCACAACGAAAACAGGATGCCATCGACCAGGAAAATAAGGGAAGTGCATATAGCTCTGCCAACAAAGAGGGAAAGTTATCCTTATTGGATTCCAACCACCTGTACTAAACTCCTGCCTTCATTTTTCCTTGATTTAATTTCTTCAACTCTATCGGTTTTATATCGTGAATATTTTTGGAAGGCACTCTCCAGCCCTTTGTGAAATGAGACAGTATTCAACTAACTAAACACTTCCATTTGCACTCACCATGCACTCAAGTCGGGATCTAGAAAATGTTTCCTGCCACCTGGGCTTGAGCTCTGACCGGCCACCCAACTCTAAAGCCAAAACCTTTCAGACCAGTAGGTCTCCAAGTGTGGTCACCAGGCCAGTGGCTTCAGCATCACCTGGAAACTTGTTAGAAATGCCCCTTCTCAGGCTCTGCCCCCAGATCCGAATTGGAAACCCTGGGGTGGGTCCCAGCAGGTGAGTCTGGTAATGCCAACACTGGAACTGGCTGCTTTAGACATTTGAACTGAGCCACAAACACATCCCGCCCCCAGCGTGCATGGCCACTTTAGCTGCAACCCTCGCGCTGCTCAGCCAGGCTGTTAGAAGAACTCAAAGCAGGACTCAATCAATGATAGCAGGCATTCCTTTTCTATTATAAAATGCCACGGCCTCTTCGTAGCATTATGAAGGCAGTCACCAGCTTTCAATGACACAGGCCTGCATTTTTCTTTCCACGAGAACCCGCAATCCATTTCAGCTGACAGAGGAGTCAAACACAAAATCGGGATAAATGTGAAGAAGGACGGAGCGCATGGTGAAGAAAGTAGAAGACGCTAAAGAGGAAAAAGAAGGAAATGACAGAAAGGCACAAAGTAGAAGAACAAAAGAGCAAAGGGAACCAGGCAAAGAAGGTGAGGACCAGTAAAGAAGGGGAAAAGTAAACCGGAAGTAGATGGGGGGGTGAGGAGATGGAGGGGGAAGGAGGAGAGAAAAGGAGGCAGAGGAAGGACAGGAGAGTAAAGCATTCGGGTCCAGCTGGGACTCTGTCTCATTACCCTGTTTCCTCCAAGCTGCTTCTCGGGCTGGAAAGTGGCCTTGTGTCTGGAAAAAGCCGGTAGCGTCCTACATGCATATGTTCCACCTAATTCCTCCATGCATATGTTCCACAGTGGAGGTCTGTGCTCCGCAGATGGGGATGCGGGCTCCTGCAGCTGCCCTGTGGCAGGTCAGCTGCGGGACAAATGTCCTGCTACCCAGGCCACAGAGAGCCAGAGGCGTGGGTGGCCCTCCCTGCCCCCTCCCCACCCCACCCCACCCCACCCCCGGGGCCTTAGCCACGGCCGGGAGAATGGCTTCTTCCTCTCCCAGTTCAGGGCTGGAGAGCAAAGCGTGTCCGGATTCCTGCTATTTCCAGTCTCCTCACATTGCTTCCTCCCCGAGCTTTGCCTCCCTAAGCCAGCTTTGTCTGCATGGGCAAACATCCAATTCTTCTAATGAAAAGAGGAGAGAGGGAGAGACGAAGGGAGGGAGGAGAGGAGAAAGAGGAAAACCCCGTCCTTGTTTGCTCTCTCTTTGACTTCCAATACAACCCCATGTGGATGTTCTTCCACGGCTGTCTTTTTTCCTCTTTCTCTCTCTCACGTTTGATTCCCTTTTTAAAGGGAATCGATTCAATCCAAGGCTCTCACGGGGAAAGATAACTCAGCCTGCCAGGAGAAGGACCGTCATGTCTGGAAATCGCATGAGGAATTAGGAGAAACCACCACTTTGCCTCGCTCACTATGTAACATAAAACATGTTTGCACTTGGGAAGAGGCAGGTGAGAAAGAAAAGCCTCTGCAACCCACTCCTTCGTTCCTTGCTGTGCCCCAACCCCCCAGGGCTGCCTTGCTGCCTAGCCTGCCCTTCAGGCCCCATGGACCCAGAGGTCTCTAACACGCCTCCTGTCCAGACCCCAGCCCACACCCTGGCCGCCTCCACTCTGCCAGACAGCTCCACAAAATGATAGGTCTGACTTACCCACCACCGACTGGAGCTTAGAAATTTGTGAGAGAACCAGGAAGAGGAAGAAAAACACAATGCGAATAGCACACGTTCCGTATATACAAAGCCGATGAACAGGGCAAGCCTAAAAAAGGCAAAATCAGGCTGCATAACTTCATCTGAGGCCTTTAAAGTATGGCTTTGAAACATTTGCTCACATTCCATTTTGGCAGCGAGAAAGGCTCTAGAAGCACCCTGAGGTTTAAAAATGGCCCAAGCGTTATGGGATGGGAAGAGGGGGAATGTTAAGATTACGGAAGGCGGGCTGCACAGAGGCTGTGTTCCTCCACCCACGGGAAGAAAACTCTCTTTGTAATTCACCACAGTTCCGCGGGGCCCCTCCTTCATGGCCAACATGGATGGTTTGGGGGTCGCACCATGAATGAAACTAGAAATCAGTGGATCTTCTGCTCTTCCCCAGAAGCAGAACTCCACCACCAGTGCAATGTGTTGGGGAAACAGACTTTCCAGGCTTCCTGTTTAAATCTGTCCAAGGAATGGTATTTACAAATATACCAGACTGGTATGAGTCACTCAAAATGCTCAGAGCATTTCCAGTTCCTTTTTAAAGGGAAACAAGCAGCATCCCTTCAAGAACTGCCATTGGGAAGGGGTGAAGGACCTGTGCCTTAGCTGTCAGGGGATTCCCTCCTCTCTTTACCTGGTCATCTAGACAAGGAATGACTCCCTCGGAAGAGGGACGAACCCAGCACCTCTCCACCCCAGGTCAGCTCTCCCACACATTCCTCTCTCCAACCTCCTTTCTACCTACTCCTCTAGAAGGTGACCTCCTGAGCCCGGCCAGGGCCATCTTCTGGCACCCCGACCACCCCCAACCAAAAGGAGCAGTGATTTTTTTTCCCCCTTTAAAAAACAAAGAGCTACTTTTCTATCCCCCTCCCTTAGAGCGGAAAATCCAGAGTTATTAGATAACCCAATGCTGTGCAATGTAAATTATTGACAGTGTCCCCTGGGAGATAGAAAATAAAATAATCCAAAGCCGTCGGAATTCTTTAGTGTTCAAAGGCCAGCTCTGAAATAACAAACTTGGGATGGAACAAACTTGGGATGTTCCCAGGTGACTGTACCCAAATACAAGGTGGCCCCGTACCTTACTAGTAAATATCCCCTTCCAGAAGGGCTTGGGCCAGCCTTTCCTTGTCAGGGAACTCACGGTTTCTGGGAAGCAGAGAACTCTGTTATGGAAGGTTGGGGGTCCAAGGAGAGGTACCCAGGGGTTGCTTTGAGGTCACTCATCTTCTGGGAGCCCCATCTTGTTCTATAGCCTTCCTAAGCCACAGAATGACTTGGGAAGGGCTCCAGGCACCAGTTTTCAAATGATAACCATAATGTCCTTCTGGTGCCCATGTGTACAAAAGCTCATAGCTACATTTCCCTTGAACAAAACCAGGGTTTAAAAGTCATGATTGTAATTATACAAGGTTTTAAAAATATATGTATATAATAGATGAGCGTCTGGGTAGTGCTGTCCATTGAGCATCCGACTCTTGCTTTTGGCTGAGATCGTGATCTCTGGGTCATGGGATCAAGCCCCACATCAGGTTCCACACTCAGCACGAACTCTGCTTGAGATTCTCTCTCCCTCTCCCTCTGTCCCACCTGCTTGTGTGCTCTCTCTCAATTAAATAAATATTTAAATACATACAAATATATATATAACAGACTTTAATTTTTAGAACCGTTTTAGATTTATAGAAAATGAGAGAAGATTTACAGTGCCCCCATATACCTGACACCAGTTTCTCCCATTATTAACATCTTACATTAGTATGGTACATTTGTTACAATTGATGAACTAATAATACTGATACATTGTTATGAAGGAAAATCCACACTTTGTTCAGATCTCCTAATTTTCCCTCAGTTTGTATCCTCTCCCCACCCATCCCCCAGATCCCACATTACATCTCATGATCCTGTCTCCTTAGGGTCCTCTTGGCTGTGATGGTTTCTCAGACTTTCCTTTTTTTGATGACCTTGCTAGTTTGGAGGAGTACTGGTTCAGTATTTTGTAGAATGTCCCTCAGTTGTGTGTGTCTGATATTTTTCTCATGATTAGATTGCGATTCTGGTTTGGGAGGGAGGAAGAGCACAGAGGGTAAGCGTCATTCTCATCATATTCCATCAACATAACTTATCCCTGTTGACGCTGACCATGACCACCCAGCTGAGGCCATCCCTGTCAGGTTTCTCCACTGACAAGTGACACTTCCTCTTTTTTCCATACCCTACTCTTTGGAAGGAGGTTGGTCTTGGACATGTCCTAGAAGGGAGAGCCAGCCTGAGAACGCTAGCTGCCATAGGATTGTGTCCCCAGCCACTGTTTTCTCCTCCTACCTCAGGTCGGAGTAGGACTCCCTCCAAACCCCACCTGCACCTCTGGCCACAAAAACCACAGTCCCTGCCACCCTCACTTGCCCAGGGCCTCAAATCACACCTCAGCCCTGCCACAACCAGGCCACACGTGTATCAAGGACGTATAGACCTGAGGTTGGCAGGACTCCACCACTCACAACAAGGAAAAGGCTCCTTAAATTCTAGGAATATCCTTGCAACCCACCCTGGGGAGACTCTGACAATTCACAATCATGTTTTCTTCCCATACCCTACCTACTCTTTGGAAGGAGGTCAGTCCTTACTTGGGTGGTTCTGCTTCACCTCCTTGAGGGTAAAGTGTACAAGTATTTGGAATTCTTATGCATGGAGATTTGTCTATCCTCCCTACTTACTTATTTATTCAATTATTTATTTATATTAATATGGACTCATGAATATTTACACTATACTTTGGGTTGTAATCCAGTACTACTTTTGTATTGCTCAAATTGTCCCAGCTTTAGCCATTGAGAGCTCTTTTGCTTGGCTCCTGTACCCCTCCAACATACCCCCTCATTTTGGTGGGGGACGGGGAAGGGAGGGGGCCTTCCTTACTTTCTGTCATTAGAAGGTGCCCTAGGCTCATCTTGTATATTTCTTACCCTGGTCCTCACTCTCCAAGAAGCGCTGGTTCCTTTTATTAGAGGATGGTATTAGAAACCAAGATTGGGGCCGCCTGGGTGGCTCAGTTGGTTAAGCGACTGCCTTCGGCTCAGGTCATGATCCTGGAGTCCCGGGATCGAGTCCCACGTTGGGCTCCCTGCTCAGCAGGGAGTCTGCCTCTCTCTCTGACCCTCCCCCCTCTCATGCTCTCTATCTCATTCTCTCTCTCAAATAAATAAATAAAATCTTTAAAAAAAAAAAAAGAAAGAAAGAAACCAAGATTGGGGACCTAGGTATACTCACTGATACCAGAGTATCTTTTTTTTCCCCCCTTTTTTGTTTTTAGGCCCTGTCAGAGGATAACCCGAAGAAATATTTTTGTGACTATCTATGAATACTTCAATATGTAACTATCTATACTGATGTTAACTAAAACATGATTTTTCACTGACATCTCCAACTCTAACCTATTAAGAGATAGAGCCATTTTTGCCTCCTCCCCTGCTGATCTGTAAATACCCGCTCCCACAGTAAGAAACCTGGCTCCTACCATCCACCATCCTTTTATTTAATGTTCCATTCCAGTATATACATATATAAGCATCATAATAGGGGCACCTGGGTGGCTCAGTCGATTAAGTGTTGACTCCTGATTTTGGCTCAGGTCATTATCTCAAGGTTGTGAGATCAAGCCCCACATCAGGCTCCACGCTGAGCATGAAGCCTGCTTGGGATTCTCTCTCTCCATCTGCCTCTCCTCCACGCTGCACATACTCTCTTTCTCCCTTCCTCTCAAAAAAAAAAAAAAAAATTATTAAAAAAAAGAGAATCATGAACCCACAGCACTATGGTAAGCAACATTATCAATTAGAGTCCAGTGCTTAGCACTGTTCCTCTTGCCTTTAGTCTTACAAATTCTACTCATCCCCAGTATTACTTAGGTCAGCACCTTTCCCCTAACGAGGCTGTTTCATACATTTTTATTATAGTTAGAATCTCTTGGCACAGTCTGAGTTCCTCCCTGGGATCCTCTGACCTTCTGAAAAATTTTTTTCTACTTCCCATACGTTGAGGTTCAATCTTTGTGCTGTAAAGTTCTATGGGTTTTGGCGAGTGCATAATGTCATGCATCCACCATTACATAATCATACAGACTAACTGTACCACCTTAAAAAGTCCCCTGTGCTCAACCTATTCCCCTCTACCTCTCTCCCCTCCAACCACTGATCTTTTTGTGTCCACAGGTTTGCCTTCTGCAGAATGCCACAGGACTAGAGTTGCACAGTATGTAGCCTTTCATACTGGCTTCTTCTACTTCGCAATATGCATGTGAGTATCCTCCACGTCTCTTCATGTCTGGTTTGTTGTTTAATCAATTCCAGGGGGAAAAAAGTGAGCTGCACAAATATGTCACTTCACCTAGTTCCCCTTCTCAACCTGGTTCCCTCATTTCCTACAGATCAGGATTTACATCTCATCCCAAGTAAGACCTTCCTGGTCACACCATCTAAAACTGGAGTCTCCTACCCCTCACTCTGTCCTGGCTTTATGTTTAGCACTTTCTAACACACCTTTACTTTTATTTATTTATCTTGTTTAATATCTATCTCCATGAGGGCAGGGATTTTTGCTATTTTATTCTTTGCTGTATTCCCAGCACCTGAAATAATGCCTGATACATAAGGAGCCCTCAGTAAATATTTGATGGGTGGATAAATTTCCTCAAAAAATGTGTATGTAGGTATATGTGCTTGACCCCATGCCATGTATGCCCCTTGACTTTACAGCAAAACAGTAATGGCAAGATGGAGTGAGGAGGTACGAGGAAGTGGTAGATAGTCTCAGCTCTTTCTCCTACCCACGTGCTCACAACGGTGCCTGACATTTCTCCATTAGAGATTAATTTAGCTGAGCGTCTTTTTCCCTGTTAGGTTCTCGGGTTTTCACTTTAAAATGTTTAAGGGGATACATTTAAATTTTTTTTTAATTCCTGAATGTTATTGTAATGAGTCAATAATTTAGAGCTACATAAAGAAGAATATTTAATCATCTCCCCCACTTCTCTGTACCCACCCCCTTAGACGTGGACCACGAAGACCCCAGTTCTAGCCCTCTTCTTTAGAAACCTAAGCCTCACCAATGAAATAGGGGTCTTCAGAGCCAAGGACAATTGCCCACTTGAGAGTCTGTGACTCCTTTTAGACCACATTCCAGGTACCAGGGATACTAGAATTCCCTGCCCAAAAGACCTCAAGCCCTCTCCCAGGACCAGAGTGAGCCTCCCCTGGGGTCTGTTCTTCCAAGGGCAGCCTGGCCCAGGATGGGTGCACTCATAGACTCCAGGAGCAGTTGTGGGGAGTGGGCGGGCTGGGGTGCCAACACATATGTGCACAAAGTCTCTTCAGGTGCACAGGGAGCTGGAGTGAAGAGCTGGGGAGCTGACAAGGCCAAGCTTCCATCTGTCCTCTCTCCTTGGGCCCACCACTTCTGGGTGTTAAAGTTGGGCCTCCCTCCCCCACTGTAATCTCATCCCCTAATGTAACAGGGTTAACAGTTTGGTACCTAACCCTCACATCTTTGTCTAGGAGTTCATAACATATAGAAATATGAACACATATGGAAGGGGTTTTCTTTCTTTTTCTCTATCACTTTTTAATAAAAGTGGTATTCCAATATATAATATAATCTATATCATGGCCACCCCCATCCCCAATTTATAGATCTCATTTATTCTTTTTATTAGCTTCATGATATGCCATAGTTTGAATGCATATTCCTTTATGATGAGATATGCAGTGTTTCTTTCCCTACCCCACCCCACCTCAAATAAAGCTGAAACAATCTTTATACCTGTAGTCCTACTTCCTGGTGCCTTCCTTTCGTAAGCTTTAGCTCAGATTCCTAGAAATAGGATTAGTGGTTAAGTCAAAGGCTATAAATATCATTTATTTCATAGATGTTTCCAAACAACTTTGGTAAACATTTACAGCAATGCATACCTCCACTGGCAATGGATAAGATGCCCATTTCACCAAACCTCCCAGCTCTGGGTGTTATGGATTGTTTCAAATTTTGCAAATTGAATGGGTAAAAACTGACATCTGGTTAAATTTGCTTTTGTTTCCCTGACTGAAGTGAGAGTCAGCATGTTCTCATACACCTGGCCATTTGTATTTCCTCTTTTATAATTCACCTACACACCTAATATCCTTTGCCCATTTTTCTATTGGGATGTTAGCTTTCTCATATCAAATTGTAAGCACTTAAACAGTAAACTTCTGTGGTGGTAAACATTATCAATTTTTTCTCCTGTCATCTATCTATATTATGTAAGGTATATTTTTTCATGCAGATATTTCTAATTTTTTGTAGTCAAATCTCTATTTGTTTTTCTTTTCTTAATGATTTCTGAGTTTCCTATCTTATTTAAAAAGGAATCCCTACCCGTCCTCCTAAATTTTGCTCTACTATTTTTATTGTCATGTGCTTCTTCCCTCACTTTGTAATAGAGAAATGATAGGAAACATCCTAGTGTTTCTAATTCAGGAAATAAAGGAGCTCTCAGAAAGGGGAGAGTCCCCAAGTTCTGTACCCCAATCTTTCTTTCTGCTTCTGCTTACCATTATGGCTTTAAAATGTCCTGTCTTCCAACAACCTCTTCTTAAAACGTAAGCAACACTGCAGAAATAACATCTGAAGGCCTCGTCAGCAAATCAGGCTAGAGTTCGTTAGAGCTTTCCAAGGACAGGCATCTTGGGGAAAAGACAGTGCCAAAAACAAAGAGAAGGAGAAGAAAGGGGGAGGTGTAAGGGCTCCATTCACTCATACTTTGATCCAAATAACAGAAATAAATAGAGTGCCTCCTCGGCATAAGGCACCGTGAAGGCCTGTGAAGGTTTGGGACTCAAGCAACAGCACGATCAAAGTCCTCCAAGGGTTTATTGTTTTGAAAGGGGAAATAAAATCCATATAGAAGCACTACACTACAAGACAAAATATACAGGTATAGACATAGGGCAGAGAAGGAAGGAGATCGCTTCTGGCTGGAGCTGACCCTGCCAAGAACAGGGGTGCCTGGGTGGGTGCCCGACTCCATCTGATCTTCCAAATCATCTGGGATGGTCTTAAAAATGATCGAATTTAACAGATTTATTATACTCCGTGGGTGCCACCCCAAACTTATGGAATCTAAATCCCCCAGTAATTTTGATGATATGCCGGTTGGGAAACTTTTACTTCTGGCTAAATCCTCACCAAAAGAAAGGGTGATGATATTTGTAGGATTCCTTAGAAAATATATATGTGCCATCACTTCCCTCGTCTGTCTTTTCAATGACAACACAGCTAGTCCGTAGCAGAGATCTGGCCGGAGATCCCCGGCAGGTCACCTAGTCCTCCATTGTCACTGGCTTTGGGTGAAGTTAACTGGCTCTGGAGTGGGTCTAAGCCCTGAGCTTAGACCTGAGTCTAAGCCAATCAGCATATCATACACCCCTTGGAACTATAACTGGTTGGGGGACAGACTTCTGGTTGGCAATCAGAGACCGTGAGATGCAACAAGACTCTGCCTGGGAATACCAAGCCAAAGGTCCTCATTTTTTTCTGCTGCATTTGAACCCAGGACCCCTCACCCTGAGAGCCGTTGGCAGTCATCTTGCAAGAGGAGAACACATGGGAGAGAAAAGAAAAGACAACTGGGCCTGGGTTGCATCCCTTCAGGTTTGAATCAAGTCGCACCTGAAGCCACACCCGATCTACTCTGGACTGCGAAGTGACCCCAGCCAGCGTAATTTCCTTTTTGGCTGAAGCCTGTTCAGATCAGGTTTCTTGTCACTTGCCACCTAAAGAATTCTCACTGATAGGAGGTACAAAGTTCTAAGTTCCTTCAGGTACAAGGAAATCGGGAAACGTTCCTTTTCTTCTAAGGATGATGTCCTCATAAGACACATGCAGACCACTGGCGACTTGAGTTAATTTGGAAAATTCTTTCAAAAGCCTCTAGAAATGGCAAAGAAAATGGTTTCTTTGTTAGGCCCAAGAAACACTCTCCTGAGAATGCAATGATTCCATCTCCTCACTTACTGGGGTGTGTTGTGACTTGACAGTGTGTTAAGATGGTACATTGTAAAAATCTTCCTTACGTTATCTAAGCATAAAGAGTTCTACAAAAACCAGGAAGAATTGCGCTGGGTTGGGAACTGGGAGGGCTGGTCCTTGGTGGCCCCTCCTCAGGGAACATCCTGCAGGTCTGTCACTGTTATCTGAGTGTTTAAGCGAACATCTGCCACACACAGCATCTGCTAATAGGGTAGGAGTTTGTTTACTTTTCCCTTTGAGACTTCGAAGCACCAAACTGAGAAGGAACGTTTTACATTTCCACGTCACAAGTGAGGAAAAGAGGAAGGAGAATGAGAAAAATAAGAGGGAGAAAAAAAAACCCTCCAACATAAGTGTCTTGGGAATCATTTCCTGTGTTCTAGTTTCTGACAGAGAGAGACCCTTCCTCTGTGTGAGACCACCCTCAAAGAGAGTTCACATAATATGTAGGTGCGGATAAGCATTTTAATCTATGAAAAAGTCTTCTATCAAAATGACTTTCATATTTGCGTTTTAATTTTAGGATTAAGAAGGTTGATGCTTTATAATTCTGGAAAACTCACCTGCCCAGACTTGGTACTTCTGACAAATAACCTGAGACAAGCCCACACTGTGTTACTGTCTGGACTCTAAAGAATATTTTGAAAGCCCTTAAAGTAGTATCTATACTCTAAGAAAATTATCAGGGAATGTTTATTATTCTCAGACTGATAGTCAATAGCAAATTTTCCTTAAAGCTATTTGTAACAACACATTGTTATTTCCTGACATCCTAAAGGACTCCTACAAGGACCAGCAAGTATCATTGGTGGTCATTCACTGACACCCTAAGGCCCTTTGGGATGGAGAATCATATTTTCAGCCTGCTGAACATTTCAAAAGCCTCTACCTCTTCCAAGGGAGCAGGGGAGAAAGGAATTGACATCGGAACCAGAATCTAATGAGAAATTCTGTAAACTCCAAATGTGATCTTTTGTCCATTGGTTCATTCATTCACCAAATATTCATTGAGTTCCTCCTGGGTACCTGCCACAGTCTAGGCACTGGAGATAGAACAGAGAACAGGCCAATTAAGTTTCTGCCTCCAGGGAACTTCTAAATTCTAGAGGAGACTGACAGAAACAAGCGAAGAAAGCATATGTAATATGATAGTATAGAATATAACTTTGGGCAATGATAAATGTTACCGAGAAACTAAAGCCAAATGGGAGATCGGGATGATGGAGTATGGTGCAGTTGTACTTGATGGAGGAATCAGAGGAGGAGAAAGAAAGAGCAAACCTTGGTGATTTGAGGAAGAGCATCCCAAGTGGAGGAAGGGGCAAAAGCCTGTAACAGGAACAGGTTTGGAGGCTGATGGAACACCTGTTTGTGGGGAGGTGAAAGCAGGAAGCATACAGAGCCTTACAGGCCACAGAAAGGAGTATGGATTCTATTCTAAACATGACTGGAAGCCATTGAAGGATGTGAGGCAGGGAAGTAAAGCAATCTGGGGAACCTGTTGGGTTAGCCCCAGCAGGGTGATGTCGCCTGGACCGGGGGTACCGGCTGTGGTCCTTGTTCTCAGCTATCTAGCCAGCCCCCAGGAAAAGCCTTGGCACAGTAGACCCTTAGTAAATAGAGGGTGAGGGAATAAATCAAGTCCTGGCCTGAGAGAGCTTACAATTTCCCAGGTGAGTCAAATATGTGACTATGTTAGCTATGACACAAAATGGGTGGCACCGGGGGCAAACGTTTGCTGGAGCCATGAAGAAAGGCCCAGCAGCTGGATGGTGCCGCCCTCTCCCCCAGGGCCCAGGGAATGGGCTGGCATGAGCCAGGGAGAGCCGCTGATCTGGTGGGAGGAACATCCAGTGGCACTCAGGCTGGCAGGTTTGCAGCCCCTTTGTTAAAGGGCTGGGCACTCTGCCCTGCAGGGCCCGCCTAATTCTCCCTGGCTTCCTGCAGGGACACTCAGAAATTCCTTCCCGTCCCCCTCTCCGTGGCCTGTGCTTAAGGCGGGGATGGGCCAATCCCCTCCACACCCTTTGTCTATCCATCCGGAAGTACTGAGTCAACAGCCCTTTCCCAGAACCCACCTCAGTTTCTTCCCACACCTGCAGCTTCTACCGTTCCCAGGAATGAGGTGGGGCTGTGCAAAGAGCAAGGTGTCAGGCTGAGGAATCATACAGTAGGCTCTCCAGATAGGTGCCTCTCAGACTGACCATGCTTGCAAATCTCTCCGAGAGCCTGGCCGCACAGATCGCTGCGTCCTGAGCCCAGACATTCGGATGGCGAAGGTCTGAGGTGGATGGAGAATTCTCACGGGCTTCTCAGGGGCTCCCAGGGACGCGGGTGCGGAGGCTTCCCGGCTCACCCTTTGAGGTGCACTGCTCCATAGGAAGCCAGGATGAGGTTGGCAGGAAAGCAATAATAAATATAGCCACGATTTACTGAGTGCCAGACTCTGGGCTGAGGGCATTATGTGAATAATCTCTTTTAATCCTCACCCAGCCCTGTGAGCTGGCACCATTATTAGGCCTATTTAACAGATGAGGCTTGGAAAGAGTAGAGAACTTTCCCAAGGTCTCATAAGCTTACAAGTGAGACTTGCACTCAGCTGTCCAGTTCCAGTGCCCAAACTATTGAGAGAAATCTTAGGGGAATAAATGTTGATAGGCTGACTGGGACGTGTTATAAATTGACAACTAGAGAAAAGGTCAAGAAGTAAAAAAAAAAAAAAATACACCCATACACCCAAGTGTTTCTCCACAAAGGGAAGGGTGTATAGGCAGCTATAATTGGACCCAGCAGAGTCTCAGGAATGGCACAACTTCTGGAACAATCAAGATTAAAAATAGCTGTGACAAAAGGAAAAAGAAAGTGTAACACACATTTCCCTCTCTCCTTTGTACTTATCTAAAATGTCTATATTGAAGATTAAAATTGCGCCAGATTAAAAATTTTCTTTTACTTCTGTGGTTTTCTCACCCCAACACACCCAAGGCTCTCCGTGGTATTCTGGGCAAAACACGTAGTAAATAATTGGTCTAAACCCTATGTCTTTGTTTTTTATCTATGAAGTATAACAGGTAAGCACCCACTCTGAGTTAACTCAAATTACTGCACAACCACACAAGCTAACCAGGAGATATGTTAAAATGCGATTGAAGAGTTATGAAATGATTTGGTATGAACAGCCTTTCAGGGTTGGACAAGAAAAGAAAATGGTGAACAGCATTCTCCTAGTTGGATAGCATACACACTGAAAATGAAATTATTTTATGAAATGAAATGAAAACAAAAATACTTTCTTTATAACCAATGCCACTCAAGGAAAAGCAACAATCTGGCATAAATCCATCACAGAAGGACTCAACATTGGAGGAGATGCTAACTCAAACCCTTCTTTTCCAAGGAGCAATCCCTTGAACGTGATGCAGGGTTAAAGCACTAGCTCGCATCCTCATCCCGAGTGCTGACTTCCTCGTTTTTGTAGATTTTAAATCAGACCCAAAAGATCATCTAATGCGGTTAAATAATCCAGTGTCTGGATTCATGACTCCAAAATGAGACCCAAGAGAGAATTTATTTTTCCCCTAGATTGCCCGAACTCTCAGCTTGAGAATCCTCCAGACACCCATAAACATAATCCTGTGCGCTTCTGCTAATCATACCTTGCATAAGTGCTCCGAGGGTTTATTTTACACGCAGGCTCTCAGTGGGGAAACAGCCTGGGAACTGATGGGCCATAATTCATGTTCCAATTCAGTCGTTGCAGGAGAAAAGGGGTCGTGGACTACAATAACCAGGCTTTCTATATCGTTGTCGTAGTTTTACTTTTTTAACATGTTCCCTAAACCCAGTGAGCTCCCTGCTCAAAGGAGTTCAGAGATTATTATAGTCAGGGAATTCTATTTTTTCTGATAAAATCTGAATGAAGACACTCATCAGCCCTTGTTCTCCCAAGGCTGGCGACTCATGGGGTCCTGGGGACTCCCATGTGCACAGACACCGCATTTTCCTAAGTGGTGGTTTTTCTCAGCTGTTTCTCTGAGCCGCAGAAGGAATGCTGAAAGTCAGATGTCCTGCTTTTGGTGAAGGGCCTTTCCCCACACCCTCACTGTCTTTTCCTTTCACCCTGGATTATTTGACTGGACCCCATGCTGTGGACAACACTGCCCCACACCTCTGTCTGAACCACCTTACACATATGCCCATTGTTACCTGGAGTTCTACCTCTGGGGGAAAAAAATCCCAACTTTCCAACAAAAAGCCCCAGATAAACTCTTCAAGGTTCCCTTGTATATAGTATTTTGGTTGGGTTTTTTTTTTTAAGATTTTATTTATTTATTTATTTGAGAGAGAGAGAGAGAGAGAGTGTGTGTGTGTGTGTGTGTGTGTGCACGGGGTGGGAGGGAGAAGCAGGGAGGAAAGGAAGCATGAGGGGGAAAGACTCTCATGCGGGGCTCTATCCCACGACCCTGAGATCATAACCTGAGCCGAAACTAAGAACCAGACGCTTAACTGGCTAAGCCACCCAGGCGCCCCATCTTGTATATAGTATCTTGAATCTAAATATATAAAGAGTGTCTATCCTCAAGTTTCTACAGAAAGCTGGAGGTACGAAAGAGTTCTGAGCGACTAACCCAGCTCTGTCCAATGGCAACACGACAGAAGTCATGTGGGTGATTTCAAAGGTTCTAGTAGCCACAATAAAAGAAAAGTAAAAAAAAAAAAGAACAGGTGAAACTCGTTTTAGTAATAGAGCTTATTTAGCCCAATATAACCAAATAATCAATATTTAAAACATGATTACTATTTAACATTGCTAATGAAATATTCTGCGTTCTCTGTCATGCTAAATCCCAGAAGCCAATAGGTGCAACGCATCCTGGCTTGGATGCGGCACGGTCTAAGTGTTCAAGAACCACATGGGGCCAACGGCAGCTGGAGTGGACAGAGCTGGTCTAACTAATCACACAGCAACTATGAGAATCTTTCAGGAGCCCTATTATTTGGCAGCTCTTTTAACATTTTTCTTCTTTAAGGTAGACACTGGCTTCACATCTCTCCGGATACCCTACCTGAAAGACACTCAGTACAATGAATGAATGAATGAATGAATGAATGAATGAATGAATGAATGAATGAATGAATTTACTCCCTTAAATCATCCCACCTAAAAATACCATTTAAATATTAGAGCCTGCCAACAGTGACGTGTAATTTTTTTTTGAAAGCCAAAAATAAGCCTTTTTTTTTTTTAAGTGTTAAAGAAGGTATACAGGTTTAATTTGGCAGAAACCTCCATATAACCTTGGTACTGTGGGAGCTCACTGAAAGCCAATGCTGTCAACATGTCATACTTTGACTTCAAAAAGTAAATGTGTCACCAAGTGCCCACATCCAGCCAAAGCCATGTCGCTCAGTAATGCTGGGGACAGAGGCCCAAACTGCACCAGGCCTTAAACCAGCCCAGCTCCTTTGAGAGGGAGAAGGACGAGGGGGCCGGTGGAGGAGGAGGAAAGGATTCCTTTGCAGCCCCTGCCCACTGGCACTCACAGCCACAGTTCTAGGGTGCTTGGTCTCCCCACGGTACCTGCCTGAGGTCATGGCTGGTCTTTGCCCCAGCGCCTCCCCCCAAGTGGCCCTCAGTTGGGACCCCACTGCCGACTCCAAGGAACCCCTGAGGCCACAGTCTGAGCACCTCTCCTTGAGAAGCATGAGAGCTCCCTGGGGATGGAGGATTTTCCCTTCCTTCTAGCCCCACCTGGGCTCCCAGCTCCCAACCTGCGGGACCACCTCCTCAGCACAGGCCCTGTGTTTAATGATCAGCTCGAAGCCTTGAGTGATGGTTCTCTAGCTGGTGCTGTGTTGGTGAAACTCCCAGGCTTCCTTCCTTCCCTCCTTCCTTCCTCCCTCCCTCCTTCCTTCCCTCCCTCTTCCCTTCCCTCCTTCCTTCCTTCCTTCTCTCCTTCCTTCCTTCCTGCTCTCCTTCCTTCCTGCCCTCCCTCCTTCCTTCCTTCCCTCCTTCCTTCCTCTCTTCCCTCCTTCCTTCCTTCCCTCCCTCCTTCCTTCCTTCCCTCCCTCTTTCCTTCCTGCCTCCCTCCCTACTTCCTTCCTCCCTCCCTCCCTACTTCCTTCCCTCCCTCTTCCCTTCCTCCCTCCCTCCCTTCCCTTCTTTCTTCCTCCCTTCCCTCCTTCCTTCCTCCCTTCCCTCCTTCCTTCCTCCCTCCTTCCTTCCTTCCCTCCTTCCTTCCTCTCTTCCCTCCTTCCTTCCTTTCTTCCCTCTTTCCTTCCTCCCTCCCTCCCTTCCTCCTTTCCTTCCTTCCTTCCTTCCTTCCTTCAACCCTTCCTAACCTTTCTTTCTTTCCTTCTTTTTCTTTCTTTCTTTTTTTAATACAATGATATCCTGATCCTGTCCTAACGGTTGAGCTAGGTGATTGCCCCAGTGAACATGTTTCCTACCTCGGTTCTGACTCATGCTCATTACATTGTACTTTGAACTAGGCCTTGGTTATCTGCTGTCTCAATCACTAAAAACAATCCAAATCGTCTCTCATTGGGGCAGCTCACTACCGCCTCTCTAAAATTAACTCTCAGGAGTGTGAAGCTTTCATAGTTTCCCCCAAACACCGCATAGGACGAACCTAGATGTCCAGCTCACACGTTCATTCATTCCAAACTGCCTCAGGTTGCTTCCAGTGTGGAAAAGGTGCCAGAGACATTCACAAGCACTTCCAGATGCTGCAGGATAAAGCAAGTTGGAGGAAATTTTCACTGACCTCTGCTATCCAACCGGGAGCAATGAGGATGGTAAATTTTGAGACCATTCACTCATTCACTCAGTGGCAAAGAGAGGTAGCTTGGACAGAATTCTCTAAAGTGGGCCTCAGTTTTTCCATATGTGAAACGGGGGGAGGAAGAGGCTCAGACTGAATCGTTCTGATCTTCTAAGAAGCAGACACCGAGAGAGGCTTGGTTGTGCAAGAGCAGCGTCTAGGGAAAATATCTCTGAGAACAATGGAACGGGCCCCGCAAGAGGCTGGGGTCCCGCAGCCCCCAAAGCGGGCCTGACCCTGTGCAGGAGGGAGTTGAGGGGGGATCGTGGGGAGGAAGAGTCTGATGCTTCAGTGCATGCCCAGAGCTCCAAGGGGGGGCCTCAGAGCAGCAGGGGAGGGGCAGGTACACCCCTGTGGCTGGAGACAGACACGGGACAGGCACATTCGCTTGGGCACCACAGTCCACCCCTTCTGCCATGTATCAGCTCGCTCAGGCAGCCAGCACAGATGCCACAAAGTGAGTGGCTGACACGGCAGGACCGTATTGCCTCATAGAGCTGGAAGCTGCACGTCAGGGATCCAGATGCTGCTAGCCCAGCTGGTTCCTTCTGAGGCCTCTCTCCTTGGCTTAGAGATGGCTGTCTTCTCCTTGGGTCCTCGCATGGTCTTCCCTCGGTGTGGTCTGGGTCCTACTCTCCTCTTTGAAGGCCTGCAGGCCCG